GTACCGGGGATCGAACTCGGGTCCTTGCGCTTGCGCAGCAGGAGGCGAAACCACTGAGCTAAATCCCCGGCCCGAATTTTAACGGTTTTTATTTATTTATTTATTTTTTTGGTACCGGGGATCGAACTCGGGTCCTTGTGCTTTCACAGCAGGAGGTGAAACCACTGAGCTAAATCCCTGGACCCAACCGATTAATTGATTTAGTGATACTGGGGATTGAATCCAGGGAATATCAAACTAAATCTCCAGCTCTTTTTATTTTAATTTTTTTTAGATTTTGAGACAGGATCTGTTTAAATTGCCTAGCCTGGCTTCAAAGGAGATCCTCCTGCCTCAGCCTCTCAAGTAGATGGGATTACAGGAGTGCACCACCATATCCAGCTTTCATTTCATTCTTTTTTACAGCTTGATAGTATTATATTGTGCATATGTACCACATTTTCTTCATTCACTCATTAGTTGATGGACACTCAGATTCATTTCTTGGCTATTGTGAAGTGTTGTAATAAAGGAGCATGCAGAGGTCTCTCCAACATACTAATTTCATTTCTTTTGCATATATAATAATGGGATTGTTAGGTCATATGGTAATTCTATTTTAATTTTTTGAGATAAAGTTTTGGCTCCTAAATTAGGTCTTTGATTTTTAAGTTAACTTTTGTATGTTATATAAGGTAAGGGTCCAATTTCATTCTTCTGCATCTCCAGTTTTCCCAGAAATATCAAGTGTGGTGCCACATGCCTGTAATCCAAGCATTCTGGGAAGCTGAGGCAAGAGGATTGCAAGTTGGAGGCCATCCTGGGCAATTTAGAGCCTTAGTGAGACCCTATCAAACAAAAAAAAGGGGGGGGGGTTGGGGCTGGGGATGGAGATGTAGCTCAGTGCAAAGACCATGGGTTCAATACTTAGTACTGAAAAAAATGTTTTTGAAGAGGCTGTTCTTTCTACTTATTCAATGGTATTGGCACTCTAGTTGAAAACTAACTGACCGAGGAGTTATTTTTGGGCTGCCAGTTCCATTCCACTGAAACACATCTGTCCCTATACTAGTATGACATTGTTTCAATTACTATAGCTTCATAATAAGTTTTAAAATTAGAAAGTGTGAATGTAACTGTGTTCTTTTTCACAATTGTTTTGGTTATTTGGATTTCCTTGAAATTTCAGGTGAATTTTAGATTAGATTTTTCTATTTCCACACAAAAAACACTATTTGGATTTTGATAGGGATTGTACTGAGTGGGTAGATCATTTTGCATAGTACTAATATCTTATTAATATTATGTCTTCCAGGGCTGGGGATTTAGCTCAGTGGTGCCACCTGCCTCTCAAGTGCAAGGTCCCGAGTTCGATTCCCGGTACAAAAAAAAAATATATATATATATATATATAATGTCTTCCAATCAATGAACACAAGGTGGTTTTTTGTTTTTGTTTTTGGTACAGGGATTGAACTCAGGATTTTGAGCTTGCCAGGCAGGCAAGGCGCCACTGAGCGAAATCCCTGGCCCCATAAGGTATTGAGTAATTTAGGTCTTCTTTAATTTCTTTTTTTGGTTTTTTGAGACTGGGTCTTGCTATGTAGCTCAGGTTAGCTTTGAATTCACTATATAGTCCAGGCTGGCCTCAAACTTATGATGATCCTCCTGCCTCAGCCTCCCAAATGCTGGGATCACAGACATGCACCACCACATTCATCTTCTTTAATTTCTTTAAGCCATATTTATAGTTCCCATGGTGCAAATCATGCACCTTTTAAAAATAATTAATTAATTAATTAATTAATTCATTTTTGGTACTGGGGATCGAACTCCGGACCTTGCGCTTGTGAAGCAGGCAGCGGAACCCCTGAGCTAAATCCCCAGCCCAAGTCATACACCTTTTGTTTTGTTATTTTCTGTTATTGTAAATGGAGCTGTTTTGTTAATTTTCTTTTCATATTGTTTACTGCTAGTGTATAGAAATAGAACTGAAAGCTGGACATGATGGTGCATGCCTGTAATGCCAGTACTTGGGAGGTTGAGACAGGAAGATTACTGCAAGTTTGAGGCCAGCCTGAACCACAAAACAAGACCCTGCCTCAAAAACCAAACACACACATACACACATACTCACACACACACAAAGTAATACAACTCAAGCTGACATGGTGGCACTTACACTTAATCTAGCACTCTGAGAGGCTGAGGCAGGAGGATCACAAATTGGAGCCAAATCTGGACAACTTAGTGATTTGGCAAGTTTGAGTCTAGCCTAGGTAATTTTGGTTTTTTGGTGTTTTTTTTTTTTTTTTTT